TAATAAACAGTGGTAAAAAAAACGATCAATACACAAACATACGTCTGTTGATTGAAGTGCTTGACATAGTGTCGCTACCAATGACGTATAATATATAGATTGAGCAGTCCCGTATTCTCGCTATATAATCGGGTGTCCGAAAGATCTCCACTCAAGGTTGAAGGTATGTTTACCAGAACAGCGGCGTGCTTATTTATATTTTAATGACAATAATTATTTTTTTAATTAAAATTAAATATTTATGATTTTTTTTTGTTCCCGTCTATAAGAGAAAAAATTATTTTTATAAAATAGCATGGCATTTCACTAAAATAGTAAGAAAATAACTCTCAACAATTTAAAATAAAAGTTGCTTGTCACATAAAATATGTAAACACACAATATGGCGGAAATGTTTTCAAACACAAGATCAACTTCGTGATGCTTCGTAAGAAATCATGAACTTCGTATCAAAACAATAAACAATAACAAAGGTATTCATGTTTTGGACACTTTTTAAAGCGTTCACCGAGTCTATATATTATACGTTATTGGTCACTAACACCTTCTCCAAGAGTCCCCTCTAGTGCTGTGATTTCCTTACCGGAGTAGATATTAGTCGTATATATAACCAGTCATGGAATCGCATCGTTGCCATAATTTAATACATCTCTTGACTAGTTTGTTAAGTATGTATTGTTTGAGAGATGATCGCCCTTTGAATTTTACCATCGTCTTATCAATGGATTGGTAAGAAGATTCAGAATTTGCCTTTTGAAATCGTGTTATTAAACAGTTTACGGCATCTTCTAAATAGTACGTTTTAGAACAATTTTAAGGTTTTGTTGGATCAGTATAATACATTTTTGAAAGTAGGAAAGTACATCGATCTCTACCGATAGCATTTTTTATTACACTATTTGACAATGATTCATTGTTGGACCAATAATGATAAAAACTCAGCACCCTGTTATAGGACAACAAGAGTGCAGCCAAGTACTATCATAATTTCATACATGTCAGTCTCTTCGCAGTTAAGTTTTAAATTCTTTTTTTTTAAAGCTTTATAAGTTTATTAGTACTATCAGCAATATTTGTAAACAAGCTTCTAGGAAATAATTTTAGAAACACTGATATAGCTCAGAACACTGTCCGTTGCATTCCAAAAGATTGACACCCTTAGTTTCCTTAGACAATTTTCTTCTGGGTATAAAATTTTTCGAAGGTTTTTTCCAAGTTACAATATGCGTGTTTACGTTGGGACTCACGTCAGTAGCTTCACCACTCCCATTATTACCGTTTTCTTCGTTCATTGAATGGCGTTTATCATCACTGCTTATATCTACTTCTTCAGTATTGCTGTTACCTTCCTTCTCTTCGTCGCTCATTTGAACTCCTCCTCCTCTTCCATCTTCGCTCTCTCCAGGAACCCATCAGAAGCTGAAAATGGTTCTTCTTCTGAATCGTTATATTATTTATAGCTTCTTATAACTCTTTTTCACTAAAAGGCTGGTTTCGTCTCATATCTGAAAGAAAACAAATTTATTACTGCCCCATACACTCCCTTATACTCCCATATAAAATTACTGTAGGGAACAAACGATCCAACTATATTTTTTGCTAAAACACCTTACATTGTAATTACTATTTATATTTTACTTACTTGTTCAATATTAAGGCGCCGTGTTTTGGTACTTCTCTCCTTCTTCGTATTTGAGATTCTAGCCCGAATTCTTGTGCCAACTAGAAAATGATCTGAATCAATATTGGCGCCTTGATAGGTGTGGACATCCATAAGGTTGGAGAAGTGTCTGGCATCTATGATCACATAATCAATATGGTTCTTCGTTAATCCATCAGGCGAGGTCCAAGTCCCCATATGTATTTTTTTGTGCAGAAAACATGTGCTTCCTACGATCATGTTCTTTGAGGCTGCGAAGGTGACTGCTCGGTGTCCATTTGAATTAGTATTATTATGGAGACTATATTTACCAATGTGCGGTAGATATATTTCTTCCCTTCTGATTTTTGCGTTCAGGTCACCGATTACTATTTTAATGTCATTTCTGGGACAATTGTCATATGTTCTTTCTAATTCATCATAGAAATTGTCTTTTTCTTCGTCTTCCTTGTCCTTTGTTGGGACATGTACATTAATAAGGCTAATATTAAAAAACTTGCCACTGATCCTTAAGCAGCTCATTCGCGGATTTATCGGCTTATAATCTATAACCAAGTGCTTGATTTTATTATTGACTATAAAGGCTGTCCCAAATTCATGTCTGGTTCTATGGCAACTATAGTATGTATTGTAGTTATAATTTCCATTATTCAGGTCCTTATTTCGTTGTATTGCAGTCGTCGTCGAGATTTCCGTCCGGCATTTTTGACTTTCGATTTAGTAACTATGAGGTTTTAGCGGGTTGGGTAGTTAATCCAACGCCAAACCCCCTTTTCGGAAGGCCATTTCACCCGCTCTCGTCAGTTCCCGACCCAACTTTCCACCCGGGTTGGATAGCGGATCTCCAGCTGAGTTGCTCGGTTAACAGGGGACACCAGCGTGAAGTGAGAGTCGGAATTGAGCAGAAGAGGCTAGTTGGAGTAAACTGGAATCAACTCCATGTATTCGCATTCTACCCCTTTATTAATATTGAACTCCTCAAAAATCCGCAAACGGTAGAAAGTTTTCAAAACTATATCGAAACTAAATACACAACTAAAGAGAATCTAACAGTTAGTGAACAATGGGAAATGTGTAAAAATTATATTAAAGATGCAGCAAATAACATTCTAGGGCCTCAAAGAGCACCACCACGTAATGATTGGTTCGATGCTGAGTGCGAGGACATTACAAGAAGAAAGAACAATGCATATAAACTGATGCAGCAAAGAAGAACCCGAGAAAAAGTACAAAAATATAAAGATCTCAGAAAAGAAGAGAAGTACATCCATCAGAGAAAAAAGCGATCTTATTGGAAGAACTTGAGGCATTAAAAAAGGAAAATCAAACAAGAAGATTCTATAAAAATCTGAATAATGCAAGAAAAGAATTTAAAGGAGGGGCATATACTCAATATAAAAGAAGAATTATTGAAAAGGTGGGTGGAACACTATAAAGAACTACTTACTATCGAAGTAGAAGATCCAAATCAACCACCCCCAGGAGCAAGCAACAATACACCATTGGAGCCTCCATCAATTCAAGAAGTGCGGGATGCAATAAAACACCTAAAAAATAATAAATTTCCAGGAAGTGATGGTATACACGCGGAACTTATTAAATGTGGAGGTGTTACTCTGACTAACCATATATATATATATATATATAAAATCATACTGAGAGCCTGGAATGAGGAACAAATCCCGGAAGAGTGGTGTATTGGGATCGTTTGCCCGTTACACAAAAAGGGTGATCAATTGGAATGTAGAAACTAGAGGTGAATAACCCTCCTTAATACAGCATAAAAATATTTTCGAGTATTTTATATAGTCGCCTGAGTGCATATTCAGAGGAGCTTATTGGCGAATATCAAAGTGGTTTTAGGCCTGATCGATCAACAACAAACCAGACCTTTGTGCTAAGGCAAATTTGAAACGCATGTTGGGCTGCCACAGGGAGATGCGTTGGCGTGTCTCCTTTTCAACATAGCTCTCGAAAATGCGGTCAGGGATGCCCAAATAGACAACAGAGGAAACATTTTTAAAAATCGTCCCAAATTTTGACAGATGCAGATGATGTTGACTTAGTTGCCAGCACAACACGCAAACTAGAAGAAATGTATATCACCTTGTCAAATGCCTGAAAAAATATGGACCTGCAAGTAAATGAGGAGAAAACTAAGATAATGGCATCAACCCCCAATAGAGCCAGAAACATCGGCCACCAATTCACTGTTGATAATTCTACCTTTGAAGTGGTGGACAAATTCACATACTTAGGCTTCCTGATCACCAAGGAGAACGCATGACGGAAGAAATCAAGCGAAGAATAATCCTAGCAAACAAATGCTATTTTGGATTGAGTAGACATATGAGAAGCAGAAATTTAAGCCAAAAAACAAAAATAACCATATACAAAACAATTATACAACCAGTGTTGACATATGGATCGGAAACTTGGACTATTTCCAACGCAGATGAAAACCTCCTGCTTATATTTGAACGAAGGATCCTGAGGAGAATATTCGGTGGCATCTGTGAAAATGGTGTTTGGAGAAGGAGGTACAACTATGAGATATATCACAGACATAAATATATATTTGGTGGCAAAGACACTGTATATCTTATAAAAATAGGAAGGCTAAGAAGGGCAGGACATCTGGCAAGATCACAGCAGAACACCCCTCCTAGAAGGATCCTTATGTCACAACTTGTGGAAAGTAGAAGTAGGGGTAGGCCAAAACTCAGATGGAGGGATGGTGTAGATGAGGATGGTAGAAAAATAGGCCAAGCAAACTGGCAACAGTTGACAATGGATAGAACTGACTAGCGTAATAGACTTGGGAAGGTCGAGGCTCTTTTATAGGGCTGTAGCACCAATGATAATTATGATGATTTTACTTACTTGTAATAGTCTTAACGTCTGTACGCTTTATCCCTTAATTTTAATTAAAATAAGCAACGAATTCTTGCAATTTCATAAATAATAACTCAGACAGCCATGCACGTGCCACACTACATCGATGTTAGGTTAGGAAATTCAATCATGTGATGACACGAGTGTTGTCGATTGACGAGAGTAGACTATAAACTACTGAAATATTTCATTTGTATGTAAAAGCGAGTATATTTATATTCACATCAGTAAACATGAGCTAGCGACCGGGAACTAAAGTCCCCTGCAGTGGCAAAAGGGTTAATGTTTTTTTGTAAACATTTAGAATTTTTTACTTTCATTTTTTACATTATCTCAAATATCCAAATTTAATGTTTTCTAAGTTAGACCGTTATTATTCTATATTCCTTATATATAAATTTTTCAGTATATCAGAAAATACCTACGTCTTGCAGAAAATACATACCCTTAAATAAAAATGAGGATCATTCAATGCGTTATGGATAGCGGATCTGTGTTGACCTATTATATAATTCTTGATGCTCATGTCGTTGTAAAAGAAAATTTCATGGAAATAGTAACACTCAGGTTCTTTGAGATATTTTTCAAATGTTGAAGATAACATTGCAATAATCTGTTCTCTCAGCTTTTCGTATTTATTCAGAGATCTGTTCTGATGCTTAGATAGTTCAAGAAGTTTCTGAAACGAAGTTTTGGTTAACATTTTGTTTTAGAAGCCAAATTTAACTACTTCTCATATATTTAAACTGAAAATAAATACAAACCTTTCTAAACTGGCCTCTACTGTCTACTTTAAGATCAACAGGATTCTCAGTTTCTTCAGCAACTTCCATGTTTTCCTCTGATTCATCCATTTGATCAATATTATCCAAATCGTTTATACATTTTGTTACTAGTTTAAAAACTTCATTGGTGCCATCTCGCTCATGTAGCGTTTGGGACTGTAAAATACCGGAAATTTTTTGTAATTTACCACTAAGTTCATCCTTAGACTGAAACGTGAGAAGTTTCATACATTCTTTATAATCTGCTGTTTGAGTTATGTTCCTTGATGTAGCTACCGCATATAATTCCCTTACCTAAAACATGTAATATTAACGAAGTGCTTGTTAAATGTAGTAAAACTGTATTACATGTTTTCCTAGTGGAGTCCGGGGCAAATCTTCAACAAGAACCAATAAGCATTTTAAAAATAGATGAAAGTTATTAATGTATTGTTGGATTTCGCAAATTTTTTCAACCATCACTTCACTTAAATAATCGTCGTTTACTAGCAGCTTCCCTTGTAAATCCCTAGATGTGTTTTGAACCAATTTTTTAAACGATGATAGTTGTCTAATGCTTGCAAAATCATCGCTGGTAAATTCATCAAGCGTTTCTACAATTACGTCTTTACTTAAATGACATAAGGTCATGGCGTTGCCAAAAGTAAAGTGGTCAGCACAAGCATACTAAAAAAAAATAGATACATGTATTATACACAGATTTGATTTATCATATGAGTGGTTCAGAGGCAAAGGTGCAAAGGGTATAATTATGATCCTTATCAATTGTTGTATCACAAAAACGTCCGAATATTTTCTGGAACAGTCATTAGGGCAAATCAGTGGATGTTAGTGCAAAATTGCAAGTGCTCCGCGTGTAATGGAGTGTTAAGTTCGAAGCTGGCTCTGCCACGTTAAGGCCGACGATGAACTAGTAACGCTGCAGCGTTTTCTTCCATTTGTTTAACAGTGTCCGTAAGAGCCAACGCTGAAATCTACTGGTGAATCCGAGTTTAGGAATATATTTTTTTTGTAACAGCAAATGTGCCTATACTTTTTGAAAACAGAATCAGTATAATAAAACTTACGTAAGACTTTTCCTTAAATGTTGTTTTAAGAGATTAGCTTTTCCTTAAAAAAATAAAGTGTATAAAATTTTTTTTATCATAAAAATTGTATTTTTTATTTAAAATAACTTTGATTTATCACAAAAACTCCACTTTGTGGCTTAGTCACCTTTGCCCCTAAGTTAGTCATATATCAGAAGAGTGGTTAGTAAAAACTTGGTTTTATAGATGTATAAGGTATGACAGACACTTTGTTCTCAATGTTAACATTACTCCAACAATAAATAAAAAAAAATGGTCTGCGTTATAGATTTTCAAATGGTATTTGTTGAGGTTCAACACGATAGGCGCTTGAATACTTAGGAATGATCAGAATAAGCAACATGTCTAATAGATACAAAATTTGTATTAAAAACAAAAAGCCTCTATTTCAATAGAAGACAAGGAGGCTGACAAAGTGTTCACTCAAAGATGATTCTGAGTCAATGAAGCTTTGAAAGCCTGTTTAGTGGAACAAACAGATGGAAATATACAAAAATGTTATTTCAACAATTTCTGAGCTTTCATAAAATTGTTTCAAATATGATTTATTGGGCTAAACTGAAACCCTCGAACCCTCAGACGGATTTTAACTATTTATTGGAACTATTTTTAAATAACCAATTAAAATGCCACACTCATTATTTTGCTTATAACTTAAAAACTTATTGGAGATTTAAAAGAGTCTATTTGGAGATTTAAGAAAAAATCACAAAATGAGATACTGCAAAATGAACAAAATCACTGTTTGAATATTGTTAATACCTTTTTTATTGTTTATTATTATTTTTTTAATTGTACCTGAACTTGAGGGCTCTGTTGGTTGAATAGTTTTGGCGAAATTTTGTTTAAAAGATTTTTTGAAACACCTGGCTTACTGCCGTACACTCCAAGAGAAGTACAAACAAAGATTGGTTTGACGAAGAGTGTCAGGCGATAGCAAAGGAAAAGAAAAAGATCAGACAACAAATATTAACAAATACAAGAGAGTGTAAAACACAAGAATATAGAATTGTTCGAGGAAGATTGAAAGCTCTGTTTAGAAGGAAAAAAAAACACAATGAGTTGAAATTAAGAGATAGAAGAGAAGTTTAAAAACAAAGAGGTGAGGTCGTTCTATCAAGAAGTTAAAAAGATGGGAAAAGGTTATCAAAGCCACTGTAGTTATATGAAAGGTAAAGACGGAAATTTAATTAGCGATCCGGCAGAAATAACGACGGAATGGAAAAAACATTTTGAAGAATTATTAAATGGTGAGGATGACCACGAAGCAGTAGACAACTGGACAGTTAGAGAATATGCGATAGTTGAAAGGCAGCCTACAGAGGAGGAGGAGGTGGTGACACCAATACAAGAAATGAAAAATAACAGAAGTCCTGGTAAAAATGACATATGCATAGAAATGATCAAGTTTGGTGGAGAACAACTACAAAGAAAAATATATCAGCTTCTAGTGCAAGAATTGGAAAAGGAAGTAATGCCATCGGAGTTGTATGAGGCCCGTATACGCCCTCTGCATAAAAAAGAAGACACACTGAAGTGTGACAACTATAGAGGTATAGCCTTATTAGACACGGTATACAAAATCTTGGCAAGAATATTGAGAAATAAACTAAATTGCTACACGGAAAGAATCCTGCATGAATATCAGGCCGGCTTTAGAAAGGACAGATCTACTGTAGATCAAATCTTCTCATTAAAGGAGATACAAACGACTTGTTATGAAGGTAAAGTTGTGGATTTTAGACAAGCATATGATAGAGTCGATAGAGTCAAAATGTATCAAGCCATGGAACATTTGGGTATACCAAAGAGAGTGATCCGGCTAGTTAAAATGACACTTAATAACTCTACGTGTGAAATTGCTTGGCAGGGTCACATATCAGATCAGATCAGTTTCAAAAGGCTTGAGACAGGGAGATCCTTTATCCACTACATGATTCAACTTAGTGTTAGAAACTGTAATCAGAAAATGGAGCATGAAGGTGGAAGAAACAGTGCTTGGCATTTGCTGACGATCTAACGATCCTAGCAAAAAAAAGAAAGAATTAAGAAGAGTTGTAAAGAAAATCATCGAAGAAGCACAGAAATTCGGATTGGAACTAAATGAAGACAAAACCAAAATATCATGGGAGGGACAGAAGGGAAAAAAGAAGACTTTAGTGTGAGGTCAGTAAGTGGTAAAAGCTATAGTTTTAAAAGGGTGGACAAATTTGAATACCTGGGTGTAGTTTTCGATGAAAATGGAAAAGAGAAATGGGAGCTCGAACCCAGAATAGCAAAAGGGAATAAAAAATTAGGTAGTTCGACCTAATTTTTTATTCCCTTTTGCTATTAAATTTTATAGTTAAAAAAACAGTAATTTGACCCACAGTAACATATGCTGGTAAGACATGGACATTAAATAAGACAGAAGAGGATACTCTGGAAAGATGGGAAAGGAAAATATTGAGACGCATATTCGGAGGACGGAAGACAGAAGATGGTTGGGAGAGAAGAACCAACAATCAACTAATGACTTTATACAAAGAACCTACCATTACCAAGTTCGTCAAGGCACAAAGAATCAGATGGTTGGGACATGTGGAAAGAATGGCAGCAAACAGAATGCCTAAACTAGTAATAACCAGAAAATTAATCGGCCCCAAAAAGAGATAGACCCAGAACGAGATGGATTAGTAAAGCAGAGGAAGACCTTAAACACATGAAGGTGAGAGACTGGAAAATAAAAGCATAAAATAGAAGCGAATGGAGAAATATTGTAAACCAGATCCTTCAGAGTAGTTAAGACTGTTATATATACATATTTAAGTTAAAGTTTTGTTTAAAATAATTGTAATTAGTTAATATTAGGATTATGTTGTAAAAAAATGCCCTAGCCCTTAACGGCCTGTTGTGCGTAAAAAAAATAAATAAAAATATTTTTTGAAAAATGTGCTAATTTCTAAGGCTTGTCCAGATAATTTTACAGAATGGATTTAATAACAAGGGGATTATATTTAAATAATATACCATCATACACCAGAAATTTTTACTTCTTTGTAAATTTTCATAATGTTAAATAAATTATGTATTTACCTACTTACCTTGATATTTTGAATAAAATTCCTGACAGACAAATCATAAAACAGGAAAACCTCCATAAACAAATTAAAAACTTTCCCACCAATCTGGAAAGGGCACATATCTGTGAAAAATACATTCTCTAAAACATTATTAAGATACTCAATCGATTTCTGTGAGTTAAAAACTCTAACTCTGATTTTTGATGAAACCTTATAAGGCAGAGAGCTATGTAATGTATTCATATCAGTTGCAATCCCTAAAACCAGCACAAATGGAAGATTACTGAAACAACTAATAATGAGGATAAACCTCTCAAGAACTTGTGGATTGAAACTTTCAAAATCAGGAATGATCACAACTAAAGGTTTCTTTTCAATTAATTTTTCATACCAACTTTCGAGAAGAGACATTGTCAGTTGGGTTTTCTTTATTTGTGTTGTTCCACTTTCATTTTCATCCTAAAAGATTTATCAGTTCCATTATTTTACAATACAGTCAAAGACAAGTTTTATATAGTTACAAATATTACAAATATACAAATTAATTATTATTATTAATAATAATTGAACATGATTAGTTCTAGTTATATATTCAACCTAAAAACAAACTCCAGATAACAGTTATTAAATATATATAGAGAAATTTTTATTGTAAACAGTTTGTCTAAAAAGAGACAAAAGAAGACGAGGCGAAATGTAAGTTGGAAATATGGCCGAAATTTGAAGGAAGTGGAGGTTTTGTTCATGTTAAAGTCCCAACTTTTGACGGAAAATCGTCATGGAACAACTACATGAAACAGTTCTAATGAGCTGCAAAAGCGAATGGAAGCAGCTGTTAAAGAAGATACAGTCATGCCTGCGAGAAGTGAAACGATCATAGTAGAGCGGTTACAGGGAATTGTGGACGAAGTGACACCTGTTATGATGGAGCCTTGGAACCATGATGACGAGGTTGGCTGAGAAATTATAATTGGAAAGTAATTGGTGACTTATAGGTAATATTTTCGTTATTTTTGAATGTGAGTCAAAAATTTCACCCTTTCATCCTATATAACCCGAACTATGTCTTCTCCTTTCATGAGTAACCTTTTGAAGTCAGGTTGTCTGCATTTGCTATAGCTTTTGTGCAATTATCTTATTGATTTCTTTATTGCTCTTTGCAAAGAATGTAAAAAGTATAGAAACTACTGTATTTCCATATCATACACTCAATTCTCTATTGACAGTTTCTTTGTAAATATTGAAATAATTGTATAATAAGAAAATCATCACCTATAATAGTGATTAAACATCTTTAAGAATTTCAAAACATAATTACACTAATTATAAAGGTTTTCTCTTAGCTAGGAAAGTAAAGTACTAAAAAATATACCTCATCTAAATATTCATCATCATTAATAAACTGACCAATCATATTCTCCATGAAATACTTAATATTTTGACAATTTTGACTATTCAGTGTAGCAACATGAGGAGTTATGCTTTCTTTCAATTGTTTCGAAAGTGCTGCAAATTGTGCAGCATGATCTGGCATGTTAATTCCAGTAAATAAAGCTGCTGTTGGTATTTCCTTTACAGTATCATTATGACTTGTTTTGACAAAGTCAATAAGATTGCTAAGTACAGAGGAAAAAAGATTGTAGTTTAGGACCTAAAAATAATAAACATGAGCTAAAATAATAATGAGCTAATAAAATAAAATGTTAAATAATAAACAGTAAAAAGTCTTTAAATACCCCTTCCACAATAAGGTTCAATACACAGCATCCCAGAAGAATTTACAACCCATGTATTTTGAGGAGCACATAAGGAATGTGGCACAAAAAATAGAGATTTTCGAAATATGTTTCTCCATTGATATCAAATATTGTACAATTTCACTTACATCTATCTGCTCTTCTATAACATTCCATAACGAATAATAATGTTGATACCATAAGTTACAAGAGAAAAATGAGCTAGAATTATTATTCCCTTTTGACAATATTTTCTTCTTGCGTCTACCATGTTGCTTGGGAGGTTTAAAATTATTTTTAAATACAAATACACCCTAAAAGTATTAATAATTTTTACATATGCACATAAATAATGAATGTTTAAAAATGTCCATGATAAGGTTAGCACGAATTTACATACTTTTGAAACTGATACTGTTTGGTTATCCTCCATGGCTTGAGTTTGTTTTTTTAAATCAAATCTAAATAATTTTTTATAATGTAACACGAGTGAAAAACAAGTAAAAATAAACAAAAGAGTAGAAACAACGTCGTTTTGCCCGTTCCCGCCATTCACAGATGCACACAGCACAGCACAGATGTACCGATGTCCGAAGACCAATGAGCAATGACGTACAATATGTCACATGTGTTGTGTGTTTCGTGTTTAACTGTGTACTTTATACTTTTGTTAATCACTGTATTCAGCTACAAAAAATTAAGTTTTTTGTATCACATTGGACAAGGTTATCAATGTATTCTTGTTTATACGAAAAAAGTTGCTTTTGCTAAATTTGATTAATTAAAAATTTTAAAACTAAATTATTAGTAATTGTATACGTATAAGTTTTGTTCATGTTTTATATTAAAAAGATACAAAGTAGTAATTGATTTTTACTACAAATAAATACCTTGCATTAACATTGAGGGTTGAAGCAAAATGTATATATCTTGTTCTACTTATCTTCGATATATTTTAATTATTAGTGGATTTTCTACCAAAATACAAAACCACGGAAGATTCAAATTCTGACAAATTTTAATGTACCAGACGTCTATGTACTTGGGTGTTTCTGTAATAATACCGCTTAATTATTAAATTGTATTACCAGTAACAAAAAAATATGTTATTTAATTTGTATTTTGAGAACGATTTCAGAAATTGAAACTAGGACGTCAAATAAACGTATATTCAACTGATATTGTGATTAATTCCCATTAAGGCTAGTTTTAATCCGTTTTTACTTCATCGTTTTGACCACTGTTATAATAATTTTCGGTTCTTATCTTCTGAGCTTAATTCCTTTAAATATTATTTTCACGACAACCACTAACGGATTGGGGTTTGAACCATAGATGTAGTAATAATAAATTATAAATGTAGAACTGGAGAATAAGTGAAGCCAATTTTTAAAATTTAGTGCGCGTGTTGTCTGCTAGGTGGTAGCAAATAAGGGGAAAAACATGTACATTGTTCACTTATTTCCCGTGATAATTATATGGAATTTTGTGTAAATGATTTAAGTAGGATAATCTCCTGGTCGAAAAATAATCATTTTTTACTTATACTAGTGTATTTTTAAATCATAATGTAGGAGGAAAACAATATTTTTGATAAAGATAATTAAATAGAAATTGACATAGACCTGCTTCCGGAAGGATTGAACATTACGTTTTAGGAGATGGAAAATCTAAATTATATGTTGTGCGGATTTATTATTAGAAAAATTGTTCCCAAAACTGAAGTATGTAGATTATATTTAATATTTATTTAAACCAAAATCCAATCATTCTTATGCTCCTGTTGGAGAATTTAGCAGGTTAGTAAATTTAAAAAATAATGGTGGGTTAGTGATTACCACAGAAGACACTTTTCAGGTTGTGTAAAACAAAGAAAAAGGCTTGTTCTTGGCAACTGGTGACTTCTAAAATGTTTCGCGTGTGGATGCTGATATAGTCAATGGCATTGTTTGTTTGTACTAAATAACTTTTTTACACACACACACACACACACACACACACACACACACACACACACACACACACACACACACACAAACAACAATTTTTGTAAAACCCCAGCTCCGAGTGACGTGTGTGTTGCAATGGAATAGTGGGAACCACATATCAGAAGATCAAACCGGTTACACTCAGTAATGGAGTGGTACCTATCTGACCCCAAGCAATAATCTGTGAGTATTTAATGTAGCGATTTCCAGTTGCCTTTCGAATTCTTACGCCGTTGGGCCTTCTATTGATTCCTCCGCCTTCGGGGTTAATTTCTAAACCCCAGGACAAAAGAGTACTCTTACACTTTTCTATACTATTCTTTAAAGCCAGACTGACACTTCCGCAGAATTCGCCGAAAGAGAAGGTATCGGGTAAAAATGGTTTGAACCAATAAAAATTGGTAGAGAAAATAAGTAAACCTCAGAAAAACAAACAGCAAATAATCATATATTTTACTCTAATAATACAATTTAAGTCATATATAGTTATATTTTTTATTGTGCATAAAAATGAATTTAAAAAATTCGAAATAAAAACGTACAGAGAGATATTGACGCGCAGAAATGTAATTTCTATTAATGCATATTCGTTTTATATCATTTGGTTCGTATATAGTCGCTACTTTATCAACAAGAAGCAAGAGGAAATTTAAAAAAACCTTCAAACATTTCTTATTTAAACAATCTTTACTTTTAAAAACCTGACTTTCCTCGTGCTATATTTAATAATTTTCCGAAATTTTTCATATCTTAACTAAATTCACAAAGAGTTTTTGCAAAGAATAGCTATGTGAATAATATGTCCCATACACATGTCATTCATTCGCTGTACAATTTATTATTGTGTGAGTTTGTACAATAGCCCTGACTGCACTTTGATCGCAGCTGTATGGGGCCAATAACATATAAAAACTCAGAACTCCAGAAAGTTTATTCTATATTGTAGCCTCATGTTACTTTGAATCTTATTATAGACATCCGACTAAACGTACAGTAATTTTAATAACTAAACATACAGTATGCGTCGATAAAGCCGATTTTGTATTTGCAAAGAAAACTATTATGATCCAAACAACACGCTGCATTCGTCGTAGAACAAGTAATAAAAGGCAAAGGAGTGCAACATACTGACATATATTTGCTTTTACTTCTTCGTTGTATTAGAGTCATCTGCTGTCAGTTTTCCGAGAAGTCATTGACTTACTTTATGCAACATTAAAACTGTTAGACGCAAGTACGTGATAATGGCTTCTTGTAAAAAATCACCCAGATTCGATTTATTTATTAGCGGTTGTAACTGCATTTTTTATGGGTATTTACTTTTTTCTACATAGAAAATGTCGGGAAGACACGATGCTTTTTATTATTTTTAGTTTGGTAACACACTATACTTATAGTTTAATATATAATTGGCATTATCATTAGCAAAAACTAAGTAACAAAATCAATTATGGTCTATTAATTTACCTTCTTCTTGTTATAGTACTGTGTCCCTACTACTTCTTCTTTAAGTGCCATCTCCTGGACGAAGGCTGGCAATCATCATGACTGTTCTGACCTTCGAGGCAGCTGCTCTGAATAATTGCCTTGAGCTGCAACCAAACCACTCTCTCAGGTTCTTTAACAAAGAAACGCGTCTTCTTCCTACGCTTCTCCTGTCCTCCATTTTTCATTGAATTATCAGTCTAACTACGGAGGTTGGCAATCATAATTGCTATTTTTATTTTTCAACTTTCTGCTCTAGACAAATTAATCGATCTGCATTTACACCAATCACGTGAATTCTTCAACCAAGAACTCTGCCTTCAACCAACATATCCTCTTCGATCCAACGTTTTACTTTGTTTAGGCAGTCGCGTCTTCAAGGAAGGGATACTCCTTTTTTTTTCAGAGTAACGGGGGTGTGGTAAATGTGAAAACGAATACTTGTGGAGATGTAGGTGGATTGCTAAAAATTTGGGGTTCAGAAGGTGGCGTATGTGATATGGAGGATATGATATGATGAAGCGCACAAGAAGAATTGTTTTTGAAGAAGGCCAAACAAGTCGAAGGAGGTACTTCAGGAGTTACCAGCCATACTAAGAACGGCTCTTAATCAGAGTTTTTGGCATGTAGTTGTTAGCTGCGATATTTGATGGGAAATGATTCTAGAATATCAAAATACTCATCAGGAAGTTCGTATTCAGTGTTGTGTAGAAGTTTAGCTGGAGGAAACGGAACTTTTCTTTTAAGGAACACTGGTATTTGCCCTCGGTGATTGCATGGCATCTTTAATATTTGCTTGACTCGGTTGTTCGAGCCTCTAATGGTTCGAAGGACGTACCTCCTGCTGGGGGATAGGATTCTGTCCTAAATCGGTGTTACATTGGATACGTGAATGTATGTGTGCTGATGGATAGTGACTGCATTTCCTGATGCAGAATTTAAGAATTTTCCTTTAGGTGGCTGTGATGGTATTAATTTGGCGGCTGTTAAGGCATGCGTAGACTAGCGGTCTTATAAAGGTTTTGCAGGTGTGCAATAATGTTTTAGATGGCGTCCTGCCCATTTAACCGGACAGCGCTGTCAGGAAGTTAAACCTCTTTCCCATTCTGTCTGTGTGAATGTGGATTTACCAGTTGAGAGTCCTGTTAAAATGAACTATCAAATAGGAATCCGAGTTTCTTAAAATAAGGTCCTCTCCTTAAAATATTTATCCGGCCCTGAACATCGCGACAATTGGAGGATTTAAATAAGATAAGTTGTGTTTTGGAGGCTTTTATGGTCACTTTCCATTTATTGCACCACCGAATAACTCGTTCTAAATAGTTCTGTGCTCTTTCGAATACAGACAATTTGTCCACGCTCTCTGTGTGGCCCTGACGTAAGGAGTGCAGTGCCATCCGCATACAGAATAAGGGTTTCTGATCTATGCTGCGGGTGGGGGATGTCACTATTGTAGACTGTGTATAATAAATGGAGCAAGAATTGAGCCCTGAAGTACTCCAGTTTGTGGAGTAAAGGGGGTGGATAAAATGTCGCGAACTTTGATCCTGATCGTCCGATTGGAGAGATAGGAATTTATTAGCTTAACGAAAGGTGTGGGCAATCTAGCAAGGTAGAGTTTTTCGATAAGGCCTGTGTGACAGACCTGATCGAATGCCTTCTGGACGTCTAGAAATATGCCTATGACGTGTTTCCTTTCGGTAATTGATTGTAAAATGAAAGTTGTTGTTTCAACCATGGCATTTTGCGTGGAATATGTAGTCCTGAATCCGAATTGGTAATCTGGAAAGGCGAGGTGAGCGTCTCGGAATTCTATGAGTCTTTCCTTGAGGACCCTCTTATAGACTTTACCTAGGGTGCTCAGTAGAGAAATGAGTCTATACGATCCAGGATTAGTAAGTTAGCCCTTATTTGGGAATCATAACAACGGTGCTGCTCACTTTCCATAGAATTGGAAAATAGCTCAGCGTGAGCCATGTATTGATTATGTTTTCGAGCAACGGGATTATATTCTCTGGAAGATTTTTAAGGCTCCTTCTATGGATGCCATCTAGACCAGGAGATGTGTTTTTACCAATGTTACACATCTGTTTGACGGTGTCCTCAG